TCTCTTGCATCTTGTACATTCTGATGATTCATGTAATGAAACGATGACATCCTAAAAAAAAGGAAGTTTTAAACTTACAGAACCCAACACTTTTAGTGATGTTACTGGTTAATTGCTTACGTAACACAATTAATCTAAGTGTTTCAGCACTATAAGTAGCGCTTATGATTTTATTAAATATTGTCAAATTTATCAGTATGGTTTACCCACACTTAATGAAATCTTTGAATCTTGCTGATGTCCAAGTTCCGGGCTTGAGGGAGCCGTCTTTAGTAGCATCATTGATCAAGTTCTAGCTTTGAAAAACCTTCAGAAACCCCCACTTTGTACCGTTGAAGTGTTACAGTCATTCCATTATAAATTTGCACTGAAATCAATGCCACCATGACTAAACTTAATCTTGACGCCTTATCCTGTTAACTCGACGACCATATTTGCGATTTTTATCTAGGCCAATAGTCTGGATCACCTTGATGTTTGTCAAACGTTTTACTGATTTCTAAAATGCAGTCAAAATCCAGCCGGGAATTCCAGATTTTTTTTGGCACCTCAAAAGCACATGAGAGAAATTTTATTTTATTCATTTGATGATAAAAATGGGTAATGCGCATTGTTGAATGAGATGCGGGCAGGCCTGAGAACCAAGTTATTAATATTCTTAGACCTATCCAATTTTTTTAATTTTTAAAATACATGTATATTATTCTTAAGTCATGGATTGGCTTGTGGCGGAAGCATTTATTTCCATAAAGGTGTTGTAAGTGAAATCTTCCTAAAAAGAGGATTAACAGCAATTGAAACAGAATGCTGCGTTTCAAGTGCAGTCAGTGGCATTTCCATAATTTTTAAAATTGTTATTACATGTATTATGTTTTTTTTTCTTATTCCTTAGTTACATTTATGCAAACTATTTTGATGGTTGTATCCATAATTTCCCTTTGATCTTGAAACCTTACAGCTATAGATTTTGAATTGCTCGACTTACATATCACTAAAATCATGGATCCCCTAATCCAGTGTCTATTTGATTAGTCAGATTTTAGAATGCGGTATAATTGCCTTCTCTAAATATGACATTTTCCTACATGGCTACTTCGGGCAGGTGTTAACTGACGGACTTGTAAAGTGGTGATTGAAGTGGTTAAGATGTACTTGGATTTCGGGTAATTTAAAGTGAAAGAATTAAAATCAGTTTGGAAATTCAATTTTTAATAATATGAATGAAAACAAAGGTTTGAATTCCATTTTTGCACTTCATTGGCATTACACATTTCTACAAGCACAATTAATGTATTTGGAGAAAATGACATTGGAAATAGTTTCAAGCAAATGCACAAAAGGGCTGTTTACGATTATCGTGGGATTGATCTGGTTTTGAAAGCATATACGTGTAGTAAAGCAATATTTTAGGAAAAAGGGCTAGTAACATTTTGATATGACTGTCTTGAAATATGGAGAATTAGCTCTAAAATTTTGTACATTAAGATTAAGATTTCAAACAAACAACTGCTCTCTGATTCGCACACTCTTCCACACTATTTAACAAACAAAGAAAAAAATTGGTAACCAATTAAATACCGGTAATCAAACAATTACACAATTAACCCCAGGTTTACAATTCACTCAGCATCAATGCTAAATATGTTCCCAGATCAATGATTATCATCGTCATCATCATCAACATCATCCTCATCCTTGATGCAGGAATGAAATCATATCAGGTTTGCCAACGAGCTAACAAAAATGTTTCTTGGATAGACTTATCTTTTATCCATCCACCATCAGTTATCTTGATCCTTCAGGGCCTTAGTCCTGCACCTTTCACCGTGTCACAATGACCCCCTCAGCTTAGTCTATGTATCCAGCACAGGTCATACCAGTATCCTTGATGGTACAATGACAAATATTTTTCACAAATATAAGTCACAAGGTTCACTAATGTTTAGAAACACCGCTCTGTTTGGCAATTCATTCTCATAAATAAAGAAAACAAAAGGTATAAAGTATAATGGTAACCAGTTAACCAAAGTCATAACAAATCATTTTCAATATGGCACACCTTACTAAATATTTAAACCAAAAATTCAATGGACAAAATATTCCACATAATGTAACAATACTGAATACAAGAAAATTGTGAACAATAACAACTTAAACTCTATCAGTATAATACAATAGCCATTTGGTCGCCTGTGTGGCACAGTGGTTAGAGCGTCTGCTCTAGAGTCGTGAAGTAAGGAGGTGATCCTTACAGCGCGGGTTCGAATCCACTGCAGGACGTGGAGACCGATCCTTCGGATGAAACTGTATAAACAGAGGTCCCGCAATGCTCTAAGTTGCGACTAAAATGGTTGCATTTATGACCAAAAAATTCATTTTGTGACTAGAAATTAAAACTAACTCGCGTTTTAGCGACTGAGATGTATGAATTTGTTTTGAACGGAGTAATTAATTATTTCTATTGGAATTTTTATTTAACAATAATTTGTTCTTTTCATTGTGCAGGTGATAATGGGGGTTTGACCCTTATATTGTTTTGGAATAACACCTTTATGTCTGATTATCATCCCTTGGGGTAATATCAATGATTGGTATACGCACTGCATTGACATATCTATGAGTTGTTTGTTTATCTCTCTGCAGAACATTAAAACATTTTTACACAAAAAGTCAAGATAATTATGAAAAGGTATTTCTTCCTCTTTTTTTAAATATTCTTAAAATGATAAAATTCGTTTATAAAGTCAATCTGATGGGAAAAGGGGGGGGGGGGGATAATGATGAAACCACAATATGTAGTAATAAGTAAACATGACAAACAGCTGTTATCTTTGAATTTTTCTTGTGTTCCTCTGTGTACTTTACAACCATAAGGTTGGTTGTATTTAATAGAAATATTTCCTTCAACCTAACAAATTGTTTCTAGTCTTAGTAATAAGTAATCTTTGATTTAATAAAGACATAATACATATATGGATGTTTATTCCTTGTTTTACTAGTGTTATTCACAAAATATTTTTGTCATGGCGAATGAAATATTTGTTGTTGGCGACCAGAAATTCTGAAATGGTGACCAGAAAAATTTTTTAGGTTGCCATTTAGCAACCAGAAAGCAAGTGTGACTTGGAGCACTGCCCATGTCACAGTAGGTGTTGGCAAGAAAAAGATCCCTCATTGCTCAATAGCCCTGAGTACCGCGTATAGGTATAAATTTGCAGCCCTCCACCAGCAAGTGGTGGCATCTCCATATGAGTAAAAAAATTCTCAAGAGGGAGGTTAAACAACAAACAAATAAAAAAACATTCGAACACTTGCCAACCATCATACCTGAGTGAACAACAGGTAAAAATGGTGAGAGCTGGCCAAGTTCAGAAATAAGAACGAATATGTATTCGAAAATAAATTTGCCTTAAAACTGAACTATTTACATAACAAAAATTAATAACATCATAAGTAAATACTGACCACAGACCTGTCTCCGTGCTAAAGTCAAAATATTGCTTGTATGGCTCTACTTACATATGTACCAGCTGCTTCAACTATAGAACTGCATTTGCAGCTACGCTTATCTGCCAGGTCTCAATTGTTCTGCTCGGCTAAGCTATGTTGCAAGGGATTTTGGATAGATGGGGGAAAAAACAGGAAATTCAAATTAGAGGTACGAGTGTAATAGTGATTATTACAAACTGCATCAACATTTTTTTACTTTAACCTCGCTTTTTATTCCCCCGCCAAAAAATGGCCGGGGGCATATAGTGTTACCCTGTTCCATCATTCCGTCATCATTGACTTTTCTGTTCATTATCTCGGCAACAATTGCACACAGTTTCCACTCTCTAACTTTTGTAGGTGCATGTGCAGGTATTTTACCAGAAAATACAGGTCAAGTTTAAATTTGGTCATGATCCAATGATTTTTGACAGAGTTAACCCTCTAGAACTTAGAAAAAAAAAGAATTTTTCAGTTTCTGCTCTCTAACTTTTTTAGGGATGTATGTATTAGGTTGAAAATGCATATGCAGGTATTTTACCAGAAAACACAGGTCAGGTTTGAATTTGGTTGTGGTCTGATGATTTTTGACAGAGTTATCCCTCTTGAACTTAGAAAAAATAAGAAATTTTCAGTTTCCGCTCTCTTACTTTTGTAGGGATATTGGTATAATGGTGTATAATATTGGTTGCATATATTGATATTAAGTTTGAAATTGCATATGCAGGTATTTTACCAGAAAATACAGGTCAAGTTTGAATTTAGTTGGGGTTGAATGATTTTTGACAGAGTTATCAATCTTGAACTTCAAAACAAAATAAGAAATTTTCAGTTCCTGCTCTCTAACTTTTGTAGGGATTGCTTTCTTTTGTAAGATTGAAATTGCATATGCAGGTATTTTACCAGAAAATACAGTCAAATTTGAATTTGATTTTTTATAGTTATCCTCCTTGAACTTGGAAAAGATTTAAAAATGGCTATCTCTGGGGGCATTCGTGGTGTTAAGACACATTTAGTCTATAATTAGTTTTTAGCTCAGTTTCAAAGAAACTATTCAAGATATTTTTAGTAACCTTATAATATGCTTATACATACTGATGAGAAGTATTCAACTTCATGAAGATATTTTGAATTTGACCTTTCCTTTGACCTTGATATCACTTTTCTTAAATTTGTGTTTAGCTAATTTTCACAAAAGATATATTTACCAAACTTCATATGCTGATAAATATTGATGAGAGCTATTCAACTACATCAACTTTTTTATGCCCTACCATGATTTTGGCCAGGGCATATAGTGTTTGTCATGTCTGTCTTCTGTCCCTCTGTCCTTCTGTCCTTTAGACACTGTGTTTTTAGGTCAATTTTGAGCAAACTACTCAAGGTACTTTTATCAAACTTCATATGCTGATACATACTGATGAGAGCTATTCAACTGCATCAAGATTTTTTTTTTACATTTCCTTTGACCTTGACCTTGCTTTAATTAAATTGTTGATTACTTTCTATAGGTACCGTGGAAGAGGAGGTAGATTTAGGAGGTACCGTGGCAGCCGTAGAGGAGGTGGACCATACAGGGAGAGGAGAGAAACTGAGGAAGATCGAGAAGAGTATATGCAAAATGGGGAGGAAGCTGGGGATGAAAAGCCACGTCAAAGGTATTCTTTAATCAACATTATGCCCCTTATCACAGTCTCCACAACATATTTTTAGCTCACCTGAGCTGAGAGCTCAAGTGAGCTTTTCTGATCACTAAATGTCCACAGTCCGTTTGTCTTGTCCTTCTCTAAACTTTTTACATTTTCAACTTCTTCTTAAGAACACTGGTTCAATTTAAACCAAAGTTGGTACAAAAAAAACCCACTGCACTGGAAAAAGTGAAATTTATGTGAGAACTTCTGGAGGTAGTGTAGATTGTAAATTGTTCAAATCATGTCTCCCAGGGGTAGGATGGGGCCACAATAGGGAATCAAAGTTTTACATTGAATTATATTAGAAAAATGTTTAATAATCTTCTTAAGAACCACTGCAGCAGAAAAAGTGAAACTTGTGTTGAAGCTTTCTGAGGTATTGTAAATTGTATATTGTTCAAATCATCCCCCCCCCCCCCAGGGGTAGGGTGGGGTCACAATGTGGAATCAAATTTTTTCATTGAAACATATAGGAAAATAGTTTTAAAATCTTCTTTTCAAGATCTACTACATCAGAAAAGGTGAAATTTATGTGGAATCTTCCTGAGGTAGTTTAAATTGTTCAAATCATGTCTCCCGGGGGAAGGGTGGGGCAAGAATAGGGAATCAAGTTTTATATAGGAATATATATGAAAACATTTTTTTAAATCTCAAGAACAGGGAAGCCATGAAGAGTCATATTTACATGGAAGCATCCTCAAGTAGTGTAGATTGAAGTTTGTTCAAATCATGGCCCCCAGGAGTAAGATGGGGCAACAAAAGGCAATCCAATTTTTACATAGGATTATACAGGAAAAAATCTTTTTAAAAACCCCTTCTTAAAAACAGCAAAACCATGATGAATTGCATTAATGTGGAAGCATCCTCAGGTGGTATATATTCAAATTTGTTAAAATATTGAACCCCAGAAGTAGAGTGGGGCCCAGTAGATGATCATAGTTTTACATAGGTATTTATAAGAAAAGATCTTCAAAACCTTTTTCTCAAGAACAGCAAAGACATTATTTATATATATATATGTATATATATATATATATATATATATATATATATATATATATATATATATATATATATATATATATATATATATATATATATATATATATATATATACACACACACACACACACACAAAAAGCTTTAAAATTTTACATAAGATTACATGTATGTATTGGTGGGGGGTCTGATGAAGAGCAGCAGGGCCAAAGTGTTCAGGTGAGCATTGTGGCCCATGGGCTTCTTATTTCAACAATTGCCTTTATTTGCAAACTAATTTTACCAAGCCTACATGAATTTTGATGCACCATATCACAGGGTCTTGAGACAATCTGAGCAAAAACTGGTATATAGTATAGTAAGGGAGAAGGAACCTAATAAGCTGATATCAATTCCATGGTGCCTTGATTAACTCTCAAATTTTTATTTTTAAAAAATGTTGAAAACATTTTGTCAGTTGAAAGGCAGAATATTATAGGGTTTTTGAACTTGTATTGGTTATTATTTGCATTAGTTGGCTGTACAGATGCATGAGCTTGCTTGTGTGAACACCTGAACATTTTCTGCTTCTTCTCTGGAACAGCTGACCCAATTTCAAGCAATTTTTGCATATGGTATCTATTTTTCAAAAAAACTACATCTTTTTAATATTAAATTACACAATCCAAAAAAATGTAAGAGTATTGCAGTATCCTTATTAAAACAATGTTAAATCAAGAAAATACTTATTTTTTCAATATATATTTTACAGCAATCTATAACAAACATTAATGTTATAAGAAAAATTCCACCTCTCACATGGGTGTAATTATCAAGCTCTGGTGTAGGAGAATTTTGATAACAGAAAATTGCATGTCCAATTAGAGAGAAATTAATGAGTATAGTGTGAGGAGATAACTGGTAGAGCATCTCTGATCAAGCAGATGTTATCTTTATCTCTTGGGAATTGGGCATTAAATTTAAAACTAATTTAATATTGTATAATTTAAATAAAGCTAATAAAACTAATCATTGATATTGTGTAATATAATTAAAGCTAATTATACAAAGTGCATAGTTATAATAAGCAAGGGTGCTTCCTCCAAATTTTGTGAAATCTGTGGCCCCAGGGTCAGGGGTTCTGATGTTAGGGAGAGGGCTTTATTTGCTATATAGTGAAAATGCATTATTTCTTTGAAAATCTTCTTCTCTGTCCCTGGGTATTAAACAAAGAAAGTCCATAGTTATATTGAGCAAGGGTGCCTCTTCCAAAATTGAGAATTTCATGGCCCCTGGGTATTTTAATTAGTTCTGGTGTTAGGGCATGGCTCTATTGATTATATATAGTGAAAATGCATTTTTTTTGTTTGAAAATCTTTTTCTCTGCTCCTGGGTATTATGTAAACAAACTAAGAGCATGGTTGTGATAAACAAGGATGTCTCTTCCAGAATTATGAAATTCATGGCCCAAGAGGTAAGGGTTCTGGTGAAGGGGGGGGGGGGGGGCTTAGTTATATAGTAAAAAAGCATACTTTCTTTGTCAATATTCTTATCTTCTCGTTGTTATAAAACAATGAAGCTAAATGTATAGTTGTGACGAGCAAGGCTACTTCTTCCAGTATTTCAGGAGTTTCATGCCCCCTGGGTTAGAGGTTTTGGTGTTAGGGTGGGGCTCTATTGATTGTATAGTAAAAATGCTTTTTTTCTCTTTTTAAAAAAATCTTCTCTGCGCCTGGGTATTAAGCAGATAAAAAGTGCATGGTTATAATGAGTAAGGGTGCTTCTTCCAAAATTTGTGAAATATGTGGGCTCAGGGTCAGGCTTTCTGGAATTTGGAGAGGGGGGCTCTATTGACTATATAGTGAAAATACATTATTTCTTGGAAAATCTTCTCTTCTAGGTATTAAACAAACGAAGTGCATAGTTATGGTAAACATGGGTGATTTTCCGAAATTGTGAATTTAATGGACCCTGGGTAAGGGGTTCTGGTGTTGGGGGTCTACTGATTATTTTGTGAAAATGCATCAATTCTTTGAAGATCTTCTTCAACTAAGTGCATAGTTGTGATGAGTAAGGGTGGCTCTTACAAAATTGAGAATTTCATGGCCCCTGAGGTGTTAGGGTGTGACGCTTTTGATTATATACTGGAAATGCATTCATTCTGTTAGAATCCTCTCTTCTACTCCTGGGTAATAAGTAGATAAACAAAGTGCATTAATATGATGAGCAATTGTGCTTCTTCAAAAAAAAATTTCAAATTTTTGATCCCAGGGTCAGAGATTCTGGTGTTTTGGTGGGGGGGGGAGGGGGGGGGAGATCTATTGATACTTAAGTGAAAATTTATTGATTTGTTGAAAATCTTAAACTATGTCCATAGTTATGATGAGCAAGGGTACCTCTTTCAAATTTGTGAATTTCATGACAGTTGGGTGCAAGTAGATCCACTTTATGAGTTGTTACTGAGTACTAGACTAATTATTTCGTTGATCCCTGATCATCCTATTTTCTCCTGCTAATGGGCAACATAGCTTTATCCATCAGTTTATTATGTCTAATTTTATACTTCTATGGATCCTTTAAAATATTGTACAGTGGTGCCTCATTTATCCGGATGCTGTGGTTCCCAGTCAAAATCGTCCAGATAGGTGAAGCATCCAGATACTGGAATTGCCTCGATTTTAGTTATATAGCCTTTCATACCACTGGCAATAGTGAATAATGCTGCTTTATATCAATGTGTTTCATTATTTAGATACTTTAATATACATTAGCACTAAATAACACTTGTTTAAATAAAATAAAAAAGTACATTGGATGTAACATTGTTCATATGGCCATATTTCTGCTACCCAGTTTCTAATGAATGAACTTCCCCTGGTCAACTGTCTGTAGAGCTGGTAGAGAAAAGAAAGATACTGAAGCAAACTGTCAACAGAGTCTTATTTGTGTCGCCTGCAGAGCAGAGCAGCACTTAGGGATCACTTTACCCGGTGTCTTTCTGTCTGTCTGTCTGTCTGTCACACCTTGTATCTCAAGAACTGTAATAGATAAGGATTGATATTTTGCAACATAGTGTAGAAACACAAATTTTCGTGGGGATAAAATTGAATTGTCATCTAAAAGGGTTTCATGGGCATTAAATTTCGTTGTTTCAAAAGAAACTCTATTCAATATATAGTCATAAAAAAAATGTCTGGGATTTAATTTCGTTGATGATTGTTTACAATGAAATAAACGAAATTTAATCCCCAACGAATATTTCTGCTTTTACAGTATATTCCTTGCTTTTGTGCATTGCCATGATTACCGGCCTTGTGACCCTTGACCTTTGACCTACTTTATAGAATAATTAATAGTACCAATATACAGCATATTTTTGACATTTAAGAAATAACTATATGCTATTAAGCATGTGCAGTGATTGTCATAAAACATTGTGAAAAATACAAGCATTACAATCCACTTGGCCTTGACCTATGACCTACTTTGCAAAAAATACTGCGGACAGTTTAATTTAACTTATGTCTTTTGAATTCTAAGAGGCGGGGTGTTGATAATTAGCATTTATACATTTATGAGCTCATGATACTGTACTTTGAAACTGTATGATATTCAGTTACCACACAATCTGATATTTAAAGACTATGAAAATACATCGGGATCGCTATCCCACAATTGATCTTGTAGACTGAACAATTGGAGTAAAGACTTTGAAACAAGTATTTATACATGTAAAATGATAAATAATTAATAATTAATTTAATTTCAATTTATTTATTTAACTGAGGGTTGGGAATCATATTTTATTTGATTGTCAGATTCTAATGCAATTTTATACTATCCATGGATGCTTTTTAGCTCACCTGAGCCGAAGGCTCAAGTGAGCTTTTCTGATCACATTTTGTCCGTCGTCCGTCTGTAAACTTTTCACATTTTCGACTTCTTCTCAAGAAGCACTGGGCCAAATTCAACCAAACTTGCCACAAAGT